TAAAATCCTAAGTACTATAATATCTTTGCAGCCATACAACCTCAAGCTGACATCTCCCATCTTTGGGATGAATTAACAAGGAGGAGTTCAGCATTTTATATCAAATATTTTACCATTTTAGCGTTTTAACTTAAAAATAGGTTCGGATGAAAAGTGAGAACTTGAGAGTGTACTCAAATATCTTAGCATGTTTTGTGCTTTTACACGTCAACATATCGTAGCAACGTCCACACGACAAACAAAATTGTGAACATCAAAAACAGTGACAGTGTTTCCATAATTGTAGCAAGTGCCTCTGATGATGGTTGTGTCAAACCGAAACATGTAAGGCAGAAATAATAATAAAAAAGTGACCTACAAATTGTTACACTCGAGGGACCTTCTATTAACTTTCTGACAGTTATGATAGATTAAACAAACTCTGGAAATTATATGTCCCCATCATGAGAGTTCAACAGTTCTCTCTACTTTGATATTTATGACTTCAGAGGATTATGCTGGACTCTGATCATGTCTGCAGGCATATACAACAAACATACATCTTAGACTCAGGTAAATATCGCAGTCTTTTAGATAAGTACATTAAATTCACAGGTCACATACCTGAACCAAAAATTATTCCAATAATAATTGCCACTCCTTCCAATAAACCTAGCTGCTTCTTCATACGAACTCTCTTGTTTGAATCCTCCTCCTCACCCATAACAAAAACTTTATCCACTGTAGTCACTGAAGTTGGTGAACTCAACATGGGTGTTGCAGACATGATGGCCACTGCTTAACTTTCTAAAATGAAGTTGTATGAATCCTAGAAATATATTGTTCAAGGTTAAAATTAAACGTTTATTAACCCTTTAAAATGAGAATTTATTCTAAATAATGTATAAAAATTAAGTAAACAGCTCACAGAAAACAAGTTATATCTCTGTTATGAAAATCAACCAGTTAATGCTGTTTCAAGAAATAATTGCTGTTTGTTGTGAGAACTATATAAAACACACAAATACACTGCGTGGGCAGAATGCAGAATCTCAGTATGTTAAAAGTGGTTGGTACATACACAAGCAGCGTAGCAGCGCCTTCAATTTAAAGTGCTACACTTTGTGTGGGTAAGCAAGTTTCACATAAAACTAGACAAAATTACAGTTTTGTATATTTTAGTCCGTATGTTTGCAGATAGCAGATGAGAAGACCTAATTTTTTTTTGCATATGCAATTCTGATTTGTTGCTGCAATTCCCAAATGTTTGCCACAGTATCAAAAGATTTATCTTTATATTACAATCTTGCTCCATGAACTCGTGACTGAATATGGACTAGTACCTAATAGAGGTTCTTCACACAGATGTATATAAACCTTACATTTTCATGCTCATTACATTAACACCAACAACACAAAACCGAAGCTGGTGTGTCCCACTGAATTCTATTACCCCTTGGTTTTCCTGGATCATCCTCACAGAACACTGTCAATAATTTAACTGGAAGATGACATATGGGTCTAGTGGTACAGGTTCAGAGGGTGTGAATTATATTATAATGGCTCAGAATTTGGTCCAATGGCAGGAATGTGAGTTTCAGACGTTGACTCTTCAAGTTTTAATACAATCAAGTTGCTTTTGATTAACTGTATTATTTACACTTGGTCTGCATATCCTCTACTGCCTTTATGTACCAAGAGTATGCATTAAGTGAATACACTGATAACCAGAAAAATGTGGAACTTCATGTGGACAGTTGAGTTGAAAAGACTTTTGTGAATATTAGTAAGTAACTACAAAATCTGCATTTATTATAGTAGAATATTATGAATTTTAGGATTAGTCTTCTGGGGTGTGACGCTGTGTGGTCTGACAGACAGAAAGTCATTTCTTCGACCCTGATGATGGAGACAGCAGGCTCTTAAAAATATCTGTTATCTACTTACCAGACTACACAGCATCCTATCCCAGTAGCACTTAACTGTTATAAGTTCAGGGTGCCAATCCATTGGCGTGTCAATCAGGGAGGAGCTAGGTAACCAGAAAAAAATAAAGAAAAATTTTGAAATAAACACAGGCGGAGTAAATACGCAAGACCCAAAAGTAATAGCTAATGTCTTCAACGAATACTATACTAGCATCGCACAAAAAATTTTAGGAGGGACCTCATCAGTAAAAAACCAAGAAGCAAATGTTAATGCAGTCAGATATAATGGTAACAGCATGTTCTTAACCCCAACTACCGAATTAGAAGTTGCAGGCATAATTAAAGGACTTGGTAACAAAAAATCTGCAGGTATAGATGATATCCCAGAGTATGTTGTCAAAAAATGCTATCCCAAGATGATAACTGCTTTGACATATGTAATAAATTTGTCACTTGTAACCGGACACTTCCTTGACCAGCTTAAAATTGCAAAAGTCAAACCCTTGTATAAGAAAGGAAGCGAAACAGATGTCGCTAACTATAGACCTATATCATTAATTTCTGTATTTTCAAAAATTATGGAAAAAGTCGTGTATAAAAGACTCTTATCATTCTTAAATATTTACAGCATAAT